TGAGCTGAGAAACTTAAAATGTATGCTTTGATGAAACATTAACCAATAATTGTGAAAGGACTCTTAGAGTCATGAGGAGGGAGAGGAGAATTCTGTAGTCATTTCCAATGAATCTTTTATTTATTCTCAGATTAATGATATATAATCTTTGTGTACAGAATTGCAATCATTCTGTTTAAGCCAAATGTCAGTTTCTTGGTATATTCTGAGAAGATGACAAAACTTGTGCATTTTTTTAATATTTGTTTTGTTTGATATTTTTCATTTGGAACATTTATTCACATTCCATGGTTTTACTTTTATTCTGTGCTGGAACAGTAACTTACCCAATCCTATCCTCTCTTTTTTTCTTGCATTGCTAAATTAACCAGCATTATTATTAAAGGACTTATTTAAAAAACCTAATGTAGTTTGCCTGATGAATCTCATTTTACTCTTTAGCATAAAATATTTATAATTTATATTTATAATTTATAAAAATTCTTGTTTGTTCCATTGAGATGCTCAGAGAAAAATCTGGGTAGCTGTATGCCTAATTTTATGTTCCTTAAATATGTCTCCAATTACCCTTGTTTTGCCAATGAAAAGTGGATATGAGCTGTAATGCTTTTCAGATTAGAGTTGCATCACAATTAGGTTGACTTAAAGATAGAAATGTCTGGAGTTCTAACAAAAAACTTCAATTAAAATCAGTAGCAAAGTTCCCATAAAATTTATATGTTCAAAATTATACTGTGTCCAGAACAACTTCATAACTAATAACAGTAAGTTTCAGTCTTTATACTTACGTGTATTATGTTTTCATGGTGTAAACTTTCATTCTGCTTATTTCTTGCTGTGGCTTTTGACTCATCAGGGCTGCAAAAGAACTCAAGGAGTGATTCATATTTAATCTTTTGAGATTTTTCTGAAGTTTTAGTGGGTTTTTTGTTGCTGTTGTTTTAGGAATTCAAGCTCCCTGGCTATTTAGTGACTGATTTGTATCCCTAGCTGTCAAGATTTATTTAATGAAGCCAACCATGTCACACTTCTTAGAACATCAGTTCCTTGATTTATGTGAATTTGTTTGTTTTGGTGCTTTCAGAACCCAACAATTTTTAATCTCTGGTAGCTACAAAGGGTGGTTTGGAAGCCCAGTCACGTTTTGATGCACAGTTACTGTAATGTCTGGCCTACTTTTGGTCTTTGAAAATATGTAGTTTGCAGAAGAGCAATGATACGGTTTTTAAAGTCTAGGCAGGAGCTGATTTGGTCTTCCTTAGGGCATACACTGGGGAAAGATAGAGGGTATGTCATACGTATGTCATAAGTGTATGTCATTACATATACAGACCCTTCCTACAAAAAGAGCATTAAGCCTACATGTTGGGCTTTAGGTTGAGTAGTCACAGCTAAGAGAAGAGCATCAATGAACTATTTTAGAAACAATCAGTTTTCTTGACATTCTTTACATAAGGTGTTAGTAAGCAAACGCCCAGCCTCCTGACAGTATTCTTCTCAGTGCCTGTGGAGTGCAGCAGGGCCACTTCAAGGGCCCTTGTAGCAGAAGAGTAGAGATATACTTTAGAGTATAGTAGAGTAAGAGTATAGTAGAGTAAGAGTAGAGTCATACTTTATGTGCAATAATTTGCATGAAGAATGAAAGCTGTGTTTCACAGTAAGTTCAGAAGAGGTTTTGTTTGCAGTCCATTCTGTAAAATCAACATATGTGTATGGATGGTTTCCACTGATTTGCTGTGACAATAAGATATGACACTCGAGCTTAATGTTTCTTGAACCTTAAGATGGAGTTTGTTGAGTTCCTAGAATCAAAGGAAACAAGTAGTGTTGTAGTGTTTGCTTTGATTGACATTGCAGATGCTGCTTGAAAGGCCACAACTATTTTTGTAATAAAAAAAAACAACACACTGGTGTTGACAAAGGAAGCTGGAGAGTTCCTATTCCTTTGTGGTTACAGAACTGAGTGCTCTGAGATATTTAGATGCTAGAAGTTTATGCAAAACCTTGCTCATAGCTATGGCTAACTCATTTGCAAAGCGTCACAAAGCCAGCATGAAACAAAAAGATAGCTGAACTAGGTGCTGCATCTGAGTCTTGCTCTGACCCAGGGAAGCACAGAAGGTGGAGGTGGGACCCCACAGGGCTGTACCTGGGCAGACACAATTGCCAGATCTGACCCTTTAATTTGAATGACCGCTGTCAAGTGGAGGGATGCTCTGTCATGTTTATGAGGGGTCTGGGCAAGTGATCCGCCAGAAACTAAAGGAGAGAAGCATTGATTGTAACAAGAGTCATTTTACAGAAAACATCTTTCCCAAATTATTTTACTAAAATAGACAAGAACCCCTTGTTCTATTTAGAATGATTTATAACTGTTCCCCACTGATCACAAAGCGTTTCTAAATTAAAAGCCATTAATTATAGCCTTATATAGATACAAAGATATGCAAGAAGTGCTTTGTAATTCCAGCTCTGCACTTCAGGTGAGAGCTTTTTAAATTACTTGGACCATTGGAGCCACCTGCTTGACTAAACGCTGAGGGCCCTGTGTTTCAGTACTCATCAGTGCATTGCAGTGTTAACATTGTTACTGATTTTTCTCATTTCTCCAGGGCAAATACTAATTAATGGATACAATTCACAGCTGATTAGCTGTAGTTTCTTCAGTAATTACATTCGCAGACTAACTGTTCAGAAGAGGATTTCTAACCCAGTTCTTATTTCACTCTAAGCTTAATTTGTTTTTTGAATTGTTTAGGTCCTTAAGATAATAACCATTTTATTTTCTTTTGTTGTTATAGGTACCATTAGATAATAAGGAATGTTAATCTTAGAAATACTCACTGATAATTGTTGTGTGCCTTAAATGGATTTCTAATTCAGAGAGAAAAAAATAAATTGCAGTGCTTTTTTATCCATATTAACAAAAGCTTAAATGTGTCAGGCTCTGACATCAGTGCTTGAGCCATGTACCACAGAGTCCTAAATATTGTATCCTTATAAGAGCCACAGGGCCACGTAGCTGCAACTTCTAGCTTTGGCAGTCCTCATTATTTCATTTACTCTCTCAGTCCTAATAAAATAGAGTAGTGTGCATTCACTTTCTCCTATGCATTATTCTTATAAACCATGCTTGGCATTCAAACCGGCAGTAGTTGTGATGTGAGGAATGCATGTTGATCAAAATAATGTAGAGTTGTATTATTCAAGGTAAAATTCAGCTGCATTCTCATTTGTGGCTCTGGAGGCCCTAGGACTCTAAGCTAATGGAAATAGGATTGGGTTTGTTCCCATCTATTTATCCAGTGTTGCAGCTATATAAGTTTGTTTTACCTGTGCATTTAGGTACAGTTTGAAAAACTGATAGTATTATTATTATTATTATTATTATTATTATTATTATTATTATTATTA